CTATTTACACCTGAATCTTATATAAGACAGTAGCATATGAAGATGGGCTGAAGTAATTTGCCTTCATAATTTGGCTTTTTTTTTTCTAAGTTGTTTGTTCCAGTCCTGTGGCTGACACTCATGATGAGCTTTCTTCTTCATTGGCTAGTGCTATAACTTGAGCTACAGTTCCAACCTGGTTAATTGGAGATGGAGTCTCACTGATTTTTTTTTTCCTGCCTGGATTGGCTTTGGCCATTCAATATTAATCTGACTTTTTAACTCTAGGCTTGGGTGTTGTCCCTGAGCTTTTCAGCTAGGTGTGGGGGAGGGATGAGCTTTACCACTTGAGCCACAGCACCACTACTGGTTTTCTGGTGGTTAATTAGAGTTAAGAGTCTTGCAGATCTTCTTGCCTGGGCTGGCTTTGAACCGCAGTCCTCGTATCTCAGCCTTCTGAGTAATTAGGATTACAGGTGTGAACCACCAACGCCTGGCTAATCTGACTTTTTACATAGATACATGAGAGGGAAGTGTTTCTTCAATTTCAACTTTCTATGTTTGTGATTAGAAGCTGCAATGGGGAAATCTCCATGACTGTTTTAGTCCATATAGAAGATTGTAAGACTGCCATATAGAGCTGTGGCTCAAGTGGTACAGCATCAGCTGTGTGTGAAAGAAGGAAGGGATAGCACCTAAATCCCAGAGTTCAAGCTCCAGGACCAGCACACACAGAAGAAAGGAAAGAAAGCAAGAAAGCAAGAAGAAGAAGGAGGAGGAGGAGGAGGAGGAGGAAAGGAAAGGAAGGAAGGAAGGAAGGAAGGAGAAAGAAAGAAATGAGAAAGAGAGAAATGATGCCAGCCACGTTCAGCAGAGATGGGAACAAGATGGCGATTCTGGGCAGGCAGTATGGGCTTATTTTGCCAAAGAAAACACAGCAGTTACACTGTGTTTTGCAAAAACCATCAATGTTTGGGAATGACTCTGATGATGATGATGAGACCTCCATGAGTGAAAGCCTTCAGAAGGAAGCTGCTAAGAAGCAGGCCATGAAACAGACTAAACTAGAAATACAGAAGGCTCTTGAAGAGGATTCCATGGTTTATGAGTATGATAGTATATATGATGAAATGCAGAAAAAAAAGGGAGGAAAATAATCCCCAATTGCTTTTGGGAAAAGATCGAAAGCCCAGGTATATTCACAACTTACTAGAAGCAGTTGAGATCAGAAAAAAGGGAACAGGAAAAAAGAAAAAAGAATGGAAAAGAAAATACAGAGAGAACGAGAAATGGAAAAAGGAGAATTTGCTGATAAAGAGTCATTTGTGACATTTGCAAATAAAAACAACTGCAAGAGAGAGCTGAAGAAGAAGGAAGAGAAAAGAGGGCTGGTGCACTTGAAGCACGTCTGGATGCAAGAGAGAGCTGAAGAAGAAGGAAGAGAAAAGAGGGCTGGTGCACTTGAAGCACGTCTGGATGTAACGAAGCAGAAAGATCTCAGTGGATTTTACAGGCATCTGTTAAATCAAGCAGTTGGTGAAGAGGAAGTACATAAATGCAGCTTTCGTGAAGCCAGGTCTGGAATAAAAGAAGAAAAGGCCAGGGGTTACTCTGATGAAGTAAATTCAGAGAACAAAGTACCACTACAAAACTGCATTCTCCAAACTGGTGTGAAGGATGACAGTGATTTTGATAGTAAAAGCAGTGAGGAGGATGAAATGGAAGAAAATAAGTGAACCACAGAAAGGAAAAGGTCACAGAGACCTCCAAGGATTACTCCAAGCATCATAGGAATCAAACCCATTCACACTCATCTAGTGAAGAAAGAGGGCCTGGTGCCAAACACCGCACCACAAGTTCCAAATCAAGAGGGCATGAGAAAAGGGGAGATCAGCACCCAGTCAGGCAATGCAGAGACCAGGAGAACCATTGCAGTGACCAAGACCACCAAAAAGAAAAGGATTCTTATAGGCACCGAGATACCACTCATAGAGATTCCCACTGGAAGAGGCAGGAGCATGAAGATAAACTGAGGAGAAGAGACCATAGAAAGAAAAGTGACAGAGAATGGCAAAGGGGGAAATGCTCAAGATAACAAGAAGAGATAGACAACGAAATGATCATGAGAGATACAGTGACAAGGGAGAGAGGGAAGAGAAAGCTAAAAAAAAGGAAGATGTATAAAAGGAAGGAAAGAAAGATATGAACAAATTGACAAATACAGAAATAGGGAAAAACGAGAAGTAAATGAATCTTCAGAAAGAAATCGTGATAGAAAGGAAAGTAGCCCAAATGTGAGGGCAAAAGATGAATTTCTTGACCAGCAGAAATCAAGCAAAATGAAAGACAGGGAAAAGGATGAAGAAAGAAACCAAGAGAAACCCATCTCTAGTTCTGAGATGTTACTGGGAACTAAACACAGATTAACAGAGGAAAGGCAAGAAAAGGACAAGGAACAAGAAACACAAAAGGCTGTGAGCAAGTTTGGAAAGTGGAACAATGAGAAAACTCTAATGTCAGCTAGAGACAGGTACTTGGCCAGGCAGATGGCACAGATTAATGCAAAAACTTACATTGAGAAAGAAGAGGATGAATAGCTACCACAGTTGAAAGATTTGTGGAAGCACAGAACATTGTTACTCCTGGAATTGACTTTGTAAAAACTATGAAGAAGTAGATGAACAGTACTTGGGAAGAAATTCATGTTTTTATTCAGTCCTAAATCAAAAGTCGGTCCTTTTATCTTGAGCATTTCTATATATATTTCTATGTCAATAATACATTGTTAGTTGTATCCAAAAATCATAAGTGTGTGCTAAATCTGCAGGTACATAGGAAAATTGGCTCTATTACAATTAACAAAAATAAACTACTTTTCTAATGATAAAAGAGAGAGAGAGAAATGAGAAAGAAAGCAATGAGAAAGAAAAGAAAGAGAGAAAGAAAAAGAGAGGGAGAGAGAAAAAGGAAGGAAAGAAAGAAGAGAAAAAAGAAAAGAAACAAAAAATAGTGGCTACATTCTGCCTTGTTGCTAACAGGGTTGCAGAGAAAATGGGGGTAGGGAAGAGATAGTAGGAGAAAAACAAAGGAGGGGTAACAATATTGGAAAAGAAATGTACTTATTACCTTACTCATGTAACTGTAACCCCTCTGTACAGCATCTTTACAATAAAATTAAATTTTAAAAAAGCAAGCAAAATAAACAATGGGAAGTGCTTCCCCTTAATTAAGATGAAGAGTTTTTTTTTCTGTTTTGAACACACAAACTATACAAAGATACAAATTTGACAGCTGTGCAATCGCCTACTAGTGTGATTTTCTCTGAGTTAAGCACCTCATTAACTTGCACACTTCCAGCCCCGCCCACACTCCCTCAGGATGTTAGTTCCTACCCTTTCAACTTTCTCCATTGCTGCCACCAGAGTCAATTCCAATGCTATCCGTGTCTTTTATCAAGGACTCTTAAAAGGAGGAGACATATAAAAGAAGCAATTTGAAACAGCTCACTGAAATTGTCCTGAAATTTTTGTGTATTTTTTTTCTTCCTTCACCCTCCTTAAAGCGAAGCTTAAAAGCCTTTTCCTTTTTTTTTTTTAAAGGTAAGTTTCACTTTCAATTTTCAGGAAACCTGGTGCGAGGGAGTCACTTCCGCAATGAAAACATGCCTGAATTTGGACTAAGAGGGGAAAAAAGGACCGTGCTGCAGTCGGCAGAGTAAGGAGTGAAGGTATGCATTTTAAACTTATAATTGGGTACACTATGGATCTTGCTAAGCAAAGTCAGAATGTATTTGGCTCTTTTTAATTTTTTTAGCAGTCTTCCTTTAGTTAGTGTTTGACATTGCCTGAATCATTCAACAAGGAAACAGAAATGACAAAGGATACAGGTAGGGGAGAGAATGAGCCATTTTCAATTTCTTGAAATTTGTGTTCAGTGTATAATGGACTTATTGGAATGTAATCCCACTGTAAATCCAAGAGCATCTGTATGTTGTTAGAACTGTTCTATTTTGTTGTTGTTGTGTCAACCTCTTACTGCATCTAATCTATAAAATAGATACACAGGTGCATATATGTAGGTAGAGACATAGTGTGTGTGGGTTCTGTTGCTATCTGCTCTATCATGCGGGCACTGGAGGGACTGGAATGTGTACATAAGGGAAACTACTGAAACACGCATCATAGGTAAATTTCAAAACTTACCTGTGGTATGAAAGAGGCCTTATGTAAAATACTGAATATTATCCCCTGTGTCTGAGATTATAGAGTACATGAAACTAATCCTTAGTAGGACAAAGGGCTGGGATGGCTTTAGGGCAGCACATTTGGGGAATAACCAAAACATGTTAGGGAATTCCTTGAGGTTAGAGTTTACACAAATGCATGCATTTGTCAGAACTCAAGAGAATGTACATTTATGATTTGTCCACCTGACTAAATCCAAGTTTTACATAAAAGTCTCCATACACAAATATTGAATGATAGGTAAGCATGTATATATTCCATTTACAGGGAAAAGCAAATGGATACTTCCTGTACTCATTTATGAACTGATGGTAGATGGAACATTGATAAATGATTAGGTATGTCATAACACAAGCATTTTGTCTTTGAACTATATTGCAAACTTAAAAGATTTAAATTAAATATTGGAAAAATATTAATTGTAGTATAGCCATACGATGGAGTATTGTACATCAATGAAGATGAACAAGTGTGTTACAAAACACTGCACATAAATCTTACAAGCTTCATACGGAGCCAAGAAAAATAGAAAGACAGTAAAATAGTACACCCAGTAATGCCCTCACTCTACAGGTGAAGTGGTCCAAGTCTCCAGTAGACATCTAAAAGTACCAAATCTGTGTAGCTCTTGGTTTTCCCTATACGTACAGATGTATAATAAAGCTTAATTTGCACGTTAGGCACAGAAAGAAAGAGAATTATTAGTAATTAGAGAAATTGTAACATTTACTATCATAAAAGTGAAATGAATGAGTTTTCTCAAAAACTATTTTAATTAAATAGTTTAAACAATAATAGTTCAATGAATAATAGTTTAATTAAACTATTAATACTACTAAATAATGTTATTAAAAGTTGACTAATAACAGCTTAATAATAGTTTAATTAAACTTTTAACTCACTCATGGTCTATAGTAATGTTCTTGTGCTGTGGTATAGCTGTCCATCCATCCATCCCACCATCCAATCAACCCAACTGGTTGTAACACAATAAGTATGATTTAGAAGCTAGGTAATATTGGTGTTGTGAAAATGTAGCTTCCTATAGTGCTTCTCTCGGCAATAACAAAATAGGGGAAGTATAAACTTTAAGAAAGTCACAGGCCAAATAGCCAATGAGATGGGTGATCATTTTGAAGAATTGGTTTAGTTTAAGGGAGGAGTATGGTGTTGGCTCTCTCACTCCAGGGTCACTGATGAGAGGCCCTGAACTCTGACTGCCCTGTTCTCAGCTGCGTTCATGTTCACTGGAAGTATTGCTTCCTGAATAACTCTATTGAAGGCAAAGCATCCCAATGAATTAAAATCATACTTCCTTTCATTCTCCTGTGCAAAGCTGTGATTATATCTTTAGGCTCCTCAAGTGTGCTCATTTAATAAATTATTCTAATTCTTTACATTTCCTCATGAATTGTACAATATCTTTCTGATGGAAGAGTAGAATTTATACATATATATGCATATATTCATATATAGGTATGTATGTATATATATATATATATATATATATATATATATATATATATATATATATACCACATTAAGCGAAGTAAGCTAGACCCAAAGAAATATAGGTTGCATGGTTTCCCTCATTTGTGGTAACTACAATGTGCCTATAAATATACAAATAAATACAGTGGATGGTAATAGTAATAATAATAGTAATAATAATAATAACACACTGGGGCATGATAAATTATACAGGTCTCCAAAAGTTCACACAGAGACCAAAAGAGGATATTCAGGAGAGTGGATCACAAAGGCTCGCTGTCCATCTGATCACATAAAATATTTTTCAAAACAAAATCCAAGAAATGGAAACAAGGGATTGTTGTTGTTGGTGGTGGTGGTGGTTGCTGTCTTTGTTGTCTTGTCCGTTTGTCTTGTTTGTTAGCTTATTTGTCTTTGGAAGGGGGAGCACAGAAAAAGTGGGACAAATGCAGCAGTTACACTCACTAGACACTCTGTGGAAAATGAACTATATATTTGTGGGTGGGGACGGGATAGAAAATCTGGGAGAGAGTGAGGGAAGGGGTGAGATGGTTTAAAAAGAATTGTACTCATCACCTGACTTATGTAACTGTAACCCCTCTGTACATCTACAGTAACAATAAAAAATATGTTGGGAAAATAAAGAAGAATTCTAACCACCTGGGAGGAAGGGATAGAAAGATTGCTATTTCAGGCCATCCTAGGGAGTAAAAAAGCTAGTGAGGCCTTATCTCAAAAAACTAGTCAAAGTTTTCCTGGTGGGAGGGCAGGGAGAAGTTCTAGAATCTATTTGAAAATAACTAACGCAAAAAAGTACCAGCAGTATGGCTGACATAGTAAACACTTACTTGCTAGACAGGTGCTCTACTGCTTGAGCCATGCTTTTATCCCTTTTGCTGTGATTCCATTTAATACAGCCTCAATCTTGGAACCTGAACCATGATCTTCCTACTTACACTTTCCATCACAACTCTGAAGACAGACATGTAACACAGCCCCCAGCTCTTGGTTGATATGGAGTCTCATGAACTTGTTTTCCCAGTCTAATTTGGAACCATCATGCTCCCAATCTCAGCCTCCCAAGTAGCTGAGAAATGGGAGCCACCAGCACCTAGCCCATAAAATGTTCTCAATGTAAAAAGAAATAAAAGTTGGAGGCAGGGGATATTGCAGTTACTTTAATCTGATCATTGTATATTATATACACATATTAAAATATCACAAGCAACTCAGTAAATATGCACAATTATTATGTATCAATAGAAATAATTTTTATTGTGAAAATACTGAACAGAGGGGTTACAATTACATGGGCATAGAAATAATTTTCAAAAGAGCTTTTTCTCTGAAGTTGACTGCTTTACAAATATTACAAATAGAGTCGGAGTATAGTTTTAACAATTATATATGTAAGAATTGACTTAATAATATAACAAGGTTGAGAAGAGATTAGGGAACTCATGATATCATGATCATGTTCTTTATCTTTAAAGTGGGAAGAAAAGGCTCAATGTCAGTAAGGAAATAGAGGGGCAATAATATTAAATATATAGAGGTAATGGTGAGACTTGACAATAGAAACTCTCAAGAAAGGTAACCTTGGAGTATTGGAACTGAGGAAGAAGTAATATATAAGAAAGGAGTTGGCCTTTCTATGTAGTTTGGATTTGTACAATATAGACATGCAGAAATGTAGCAGAAAATGATGAATAAAAGGATCATACAGAATCACCTATCAGTTATATATCTGATAAAGAATATACAATGCACTTGAGAGCATGTGTTACTTATGTATATGTACAGGGCATAACCATGAGATGTTTACCTGGTCATGTCTACTCCTTCCTGGGAATGATGCCCCTTTGGATTCTGGGAATATCTTCCATCAACCAATGCACTGTGAGACAGGAAGTAGCTGACTGCAGTCATCTGAAGTTGACTCACATACCTGATGACCTCCCAACAAACATCACGGTGTTGAATCTGACGCACAACCAACTCCGACGACTGCCACCTGCCAATTTTACAAGATATAGCCAACTTACTATCCTGGATGGAGGTTTTAACACCATTTCAAAACTGGAGCCAGAACTGTGCCAAAATCTCCCCCTATTGGAAGTTTTGAACCTCCAGCACAATGAGTTATCTCAACTTTCAGATAAAACCTTTATGTTTTGCCTGAATTTGATTGAGCTCCATCTAATGTCTAACTCAATCAGAAAAATTCAAAACAATCCCTTTAAAAACCAGAAGGTAAGATGAAAATGGTCATTGCTTCTGTCCAAGAAATGCAAAATATATGCTTGAATGCTAAGTTTTCAAGTCATTTATTTTGCTAAGAGAAATAATGTGACTCTTGAAGTAAAAAAACTAAATGTTTACAACAGGGTATTTTTAATCACAAGAAAGATTACTTATTACTCCTACTATTAGAGGTAATGTTTTGTTGTTGAACTATTTCAAAGACTGACTCAGATTTGGAGGAACTGCTTGGGATGACAAAAGTAACCTGTATACTATTTTTTTTTAACTCTCAGAATTTAATCAAATTAGATCTGTCTCATACTGGCTTGTCGTCTACAAAATTAGGAACTCAGCCACAACTGGAAAGTCTCCAAGAGCTTCTCTTGTCAAATAATAAAATTCATACACTAAGAAGTGAGGAACTTGACTTCCTTGGTAATTCTTCTTTACAAAAATTAGAGCTGTCATCAAATCAAATTAAAGAGGTAAGAAGTAAAAGTTATCTTGCTTCTACCTTTGTCTGACGTCCTTAACGTCACATTGCTAGAAATCTCAAGTAGCTTTAGAGATAAAGCTACTGTGTCTTTCAGAAATTCTTCAATATTTTGCTTGGGCCCTTAGAGCCATTACCAAAATGGAGCTTTGTTAGTAATTACAAGATGGGCTCTGAGGTCAAACTGTAGTGTGCTAAAAATCCCTGTGCTGTCAACAAGAGTTCCTTGAACTCACCCTGGAAGACTGACTAGTCTTAGTTGCATTACTTTATCAAGTGGAAATAGTACCCAAATCTTGTGCACACTTTCTGTCTCTCTGTCTCTGTCTGTCTCTCTGTCTCTGTCTCTGTCTCTCTCCCTTCTACCCTTTCTGTCTCTCTGTCTCTGTCTCTCCCTTCTCCCCTCTTTTTGTCTGTCTGTCTGTCTCTCTCTCTCTCTCTCAATCTTTTTCTCTTCGCCAGACCTCAGGTTTGAACTCAGGGCTTAGCACTGTCCCTGAGCTTCTTTTGCTCAAAGCTAGCACTCCACCACGTGAGCCACAGCACCACTTCCAGCTTTTTCTGCTTATGTGGACTTGGGGAACCAACCCCAGGACTTCATACATGCTAGGCAAGCACTCTACTGCTAAGCCACATCCCTCAGCCCAGCCCTTGTGGAATCTCTTTTCTATGGTTAAGGAAACAGCTTTAGAGTTGGGTTAGCTGCCTCCATGTGTGACTTTATCTTTTAATCATATTGTAATTGGGCATGTATTTGATTTCTTTCTGCTTCAGACTCTCAGCTTTCAAATTGGCATATTAATGACACTGCTTCATAGTAGTAAAGAATTTGATACTCTATCTGACAGAAAGTGCCCAGTAAATGAGAGCTAGATCTGTTTTTATACCAAAACTCTCCTCTAATGGAACATACATAGTTAGCCATTATGGATCCGTTATCTTTAGTTGAGCCATTTCCATACCAAATGTGCCTATATTTCCATGCTCCACTTTTCCATGCTCTAAGAATATTGGAAGAACTAATTAAGGACTAGTTAGGACTAGGCTAGTTAAGGATTATCTTAATGATAGCTTGCAGAATTATTTTCCAGACATAAAAATAGACTATAAAGTGATCCCGGCATAAAATGAAAGAGTTCATGCAAGCTACTCATCTTCTGTTATTTATTTTCAGTGGTATTAGGGATTGGACTCAGGGCCTCATGCTTGCTAGGGAAGAGCTTTACCAGTTGAACCATCTCAACCGTCCTTTTTTAGTTTGCTTTTCAGGTAGTGTTTCACACATTTTGTCAGTCTGATCTGAGGCTGATCTCCTGTGACTACTTCCCAAGTAGCTTGGTGATTGGTATGCTCACCACACTCAGTCATTTTATTTTTTAAATGGTATGTTCCCTAATTCGAATATTTGTTGTTATAATCTTATAAAACATATACTGAGGGGCAATAAAAATAAGGGGAAGCTAAGAAAAATCCACTCTAAAGTCCACTTTAAAGAAATAAGCACCCTCATACTTTGGCTATATTTATTTTCAGACCCTCCCCAAATAATTATTATTATAAGAAAAACAGGGAGTAGTTGTGGAAGTGGGAGAGAAGGGATGGTAGGGGGAAAACAAAGGAGGAGGCAACAGTGCTGGATAGGAAATGTACTCATTACCTTGCTCATATAACTGTAACCCCTCTGTACAGTATTTTTACAATAAAAACAGAGCTAACTGTAACTTCGTACCAAGCACTTTAAAGCCTATATATATATATATATATATATATATATACGTACACACATGTATGCTCTTTTAAATTAATTTATTATGATATTTTTATACAAGAGCGAATTGAAATTAAGAAGGATTAAGTGTTGTATCTAAGATCTCACAGGGTATTCATGGCAAAACTGAATTCTGGTATGCACCTGGAGCCCCTGTTCTCAATGATGGTGCTAAGAACATCTCTGAAATGTTTTTTCCTTTTACTGCTTTTAAAAAATCAATATTTTTGTGTAATGAACATCTCTAATGTAATTTTAATTTTAGTGGCTAAAAGAACCACTATTGTGTAAATGTACCAAAATTAATTTAGCAATTACCTGCTTTGCTTATCACTTCTTTTATTCACAATGAAGACCATTTTCTTCCACACTTACCTATTTTATTTCTTTTGCCCAAACATCTCACCAGTGAAGCATTAGAAAGCAAAACTCCTTTACTTTCCACCTGTGTCTAACTGCCTGGGTCTGGCTACTATCCTCTCTGGATTGTTTTCCTCCTCCTTTCTTTTCTCTTGGCTCAGCACTGGGTCCCAGACCAGCCAAGGCTTCTGATGGGGAAAGGGGAGCTAGAAATGAGTGGCAGAGAGCTAAAAATATTATATAAAGTTAGGAAAGAACCTGGGTGAAAAGATGGGGGGAAAAAAGAAAAAAATCTGACCTCAGAATACTAAAGAGTCAGTGTGCATCACTGTTTCCTAATAAAAGCCATTCATTCATTCCTTGCATATCTGTTGATAACACAGGACACGATCAGGTGACTTCACAGAGAGTTCATTCATTTCAGTTGCACCCAATGCAATACAGTACTAGAAAACATGAGCTAGTCATGATTGAGAACTCAGGAAAAGGCCCCTGCTTGAATGTTAGTGTTCATGGCCCGTGAATGGATCCAGGAGTGCTAAATGGAGATTAGCTAGAGGGAGGGGGAGTTCAGAGACTGGAGCCTATGGTCAGTGATACAGGCACGGAGGAAGGCTAGAGCTATGTCATGCAGAGGGACTTAGCACAGGGAATATGTTGAAAGCAGAGTGAGTATGCGTAGAGGATTTTCAAGGGTATAAACACCTATTATATTGTAGTTATTAACCTCTTTTTGTGTCCTCTCTAGTTCTCCCCAGGGTGTTTTCATGCCATTGGGAAATTATTTGGCCTTTTTTTGAACAATGCCCAATTGGGCCCCATTCTCATAGAGAAACTCTGTTTGGAATTATCAGACACAAGCATCCAGAATCTGTTTCTGAGTAACACCCAGCTGTCTCGAACCAACAACATGACTTTCTTTGGACTAAAGCAGACAAATCTCACTGTGCTTGATCTTTCCCACAATAGTTTAAGTGTGATTGGTAATGGTACTTTCACTTGGCTTCCCCAGCTGAGATATTTATTCCTGGAGTCTAATAACATACAGCATCTTTCTTCTTCCTCCTTTTATGGACTTTCCAGTCTTAAATATTTGAATTTGAAACGATCTTTTACTAAACCAACACATCCCAGGATTGATGACTTTTCCTTTCAGTCACTGAAATGTTTGGAGTACCTTAACATGGATGATAGCAACATTCTAGACACAAAAAGCCATATGTTCACAGGACTGGTAAACTTGAAGAATTTAAGTCTATCCAGTGCTTTCACTGGTTTGCAAACTTTAACAAATGAAACATTTTTATCACTCGCTCACTCTCCTCTACTCATACTCAACTTAACCAAAAATAAAATATTGAAAATAGAGCCTGGGGCTTTCAGTTGGTTGGGTGAATTAAAGGTACTTGATCTTGGCCTTAATCAAATTGAGCAAGAACTTACAGGCCAGGAATGGAGAGGTCTAGGAAATATTTTTGAAATCTACCTTTCCTATAACAAATACCTACAACTGACTAGTAATTCCTTTGGATTGGTTCCAAGCCTTGAACGCCTCATGCTCCGAAGGGTGGCTCTTAAAAATGTGAATAGCTCTCCCTCACCTTTCCACCACCTTCATAACTTGACCATTCTGGATCTCAGCAACAACAACCTGGCTAACATAGATGAGGAAATGTTGGAGGGTCTAGGAAAGCTAGAAATTCTGGATTTGCAGCACAACAACTTAGCACGACTCTGGAAGAATACAAACCCTGGTGGTCCTGTTCATTTTCTAAAGGGTCTTTCTCATCTCCACATCCTTAATTTAGAGTCCAACGGCTTTGATGAAATCCCACCTAAGGCATTCAAGGGCTTATTTGAACTAAAGAGCATTCATTTAGGGTTGAATAATCTAAACATCCTTCCACCATCTGTCTTTGATGACCAGCTGTCTCTAAAGTCACTGAGCCTTCAGAAAAATCTCATCACATCAGTTGAGAAGAGTGTTTTTGAGCCAGCTTTCAAGAACCTGAGCAATTTGGATCTGAGTTTTAATCCATTTGATTGCACCTGTGAAAGTATCGCCTGGTTTGTCAGTTGGATGAATAAGACTGACACAAACATCTCTGAGCTCTCCAGTCACTACCTCTGCAACACTCCACCGCAATATCATGGGTTCCCAGTGATGCAGTTTGATACATCACCCTGCAAAGACAGTGCCCCATTTAAACTTCTCTTCATGATCAACACAAGTGTGCTGTTGATTTTTATCTTAGTTGTACTGCTCATCCATTTTGAAGGTTGGAGGTTATCTTTTTATTGGAATGTTTCTGTCCATCGAGTTCTAGGCTTCAAAGAAGTAGACAACCAGCCAGAACAGTTTGAATATACAGCATATGTAATTCATTCCCATAAAGACAGAGATTGGGTCTGGGAACATTTCTCCCCGATGGAAGAAAAAGACCGATCTCTCAAATTCTGTCTGGAAGAAAGAGACTTTGCTGCAGGTGTCCTTGGACTTGAAGCGATTGTTAAGAGCATCAGACGGAGCAGAAAAATCATTTTTGTTATAACACAACATCTGTTAACAGATCCATTGTGCAAAAGGTAGGTGATTATTGTGAAATTTTAAGTGTGTGCCATTTCATATATTACCTATACTCACAATTCAAAGAATTTATTAAACAAAATTAAGAAAACAATCCTAATTTTTAATGGCAGATTCAAGAACTTTCTACCAAGAATTTTAGCTTGTTGCTCTTTTGACTGCTAAAAATTGATCATTTAACTTTATATTCCTTTTTTTTATTTTCACTTAGATTCAAGGTACACCATGCAGTTCAGCAAGCCATTGAGCAAAACCTGGATTCCATTATATTGATTTTTCTTGAAGAAATTCCAGATTATAAACTAAACCATGCACTCTGTTTACGAAGAGGAATGTTTAAGTCTCATTGTATCTTGGACTGGCCGGTTCAGAAAGAAAGGATACATGCTTTTTATCATAAATTGCAAGTAGCACTTGGATCCCGAAATTTAGCACATTAAATTTCTTTAAAGGCTAAGTTAGCAAAGGAGTCGTTGTCCAACTTCAAAAGTAACTTAAGTTTTACTTTAAAGTAATGTAATGTGGTGGGTCATATTTATGGATGAAGGTATCTCTCTTCTGTGGAAATGTATCTCCCTAGTTTAGGCTTCTTACTGACAGTGGACTTTCCCTCCTGTAAGAAAACTCTACTAGTGAATGCACAAGGGGCCTCTGATGCTTATCATGATTTTGAGTTTCCTCATTTAAAGAAAAGTTAGAGTTACATTTTGTGATCACCCCTTTGGGATTCACTTACAATAGAAAGAGATAATTGCTTTGATGGGCATAAGGTTATTTCAATTGTAAAAGGGAAATGTGATGCTAACTGTGACCAGAGGTAGTGTAGTGCAGTGGGATACTGAGCCAATGAAAATTAGAAAACACTGAGACATAGACAGATGGATAAATTATGTCTGGAAGAAAGACACTTTTCAGGTCTCAAGAGACCAGGGGTCCCAAGGTTCTCCCGCACTTGGACCTTGAGTCCCCATAAGCAAGCTCATTTTGAGTTTATTCTGGTATATTTTGGGTTGAGTTGACACAAGGAAGGTTGCTATAGGTACATGTAAAAAGTAAAGCATCTTTATTAATATTACAATCAGTTAAAACAGAGTTTATGAGAGACACTGGTTCCCTTATTTTGAGACAGGAGACTGCAGCCCAGGGAAAGTCCAGGCCAGTGTCTATATATTAACCCCAGGTTAAGTTGTGAAGGTCCCTGGTATAGCTGCCAGCCCAAGGAAAGGGGGAAGTGGCTGCACCCCTGTCTTTCCACTCTCTCCAGAGTTTTAACCCTTCCATAGCCTGCTCCCAGCATTCCAAGTGCTGGCAAGGTGACATTCCAACCTCTCGAAACTTTTCCAGATTTTACAGCTCAGCTTCAGAGTTCCCTGCAGAAAAGTATTGAGAAAAAAATTAATTGCTGTCATATTTTCTATTGAAAAAGCTTTTTATTTTAGCGTCACCATGTTGATTTTGTTAAGTAATGTTTAATTTGTATACTCCGGGGCAGAACAATTCACAATGCACTTCGATTATTTGATGAAATAGAAACTTGTACTAAATACTCATTTGTGTTTTCCTATCCCTTGAATTCTACTAGAGGAATATTGTAGAAAGGCTTTCTTCCTAAAAAGTTAATTAGAAGGTAGACATTGTGAAAACAAAGAAGTTCTGTCTGTTGACTCAAAAGATGATGCCCAAGTCACTTGATTCTTTGTCTCTTGATCTTGAAAATTACAATGAAGAATAAAATTTCAAGTTGATAGTGATGTTGAGCACAAGTTGATGTGGAATATATTGTGCCAGTTTCATTTTGCAATCAAATTAAAAAGTTTAGCTTTAAACTGAGATAAAAATAGTCAAAATATTGGAAATGAGTAGTTTTTTGGAGTAGTTATAGTTCTGGTATTCCAATATAAGAAAGACAATGTTGAGTTTGCTTCTTGTATTCATCTCAACTTGTATTCATCTGCTAAATCTAGGAAGTAGTTAAGCTGTTGCATTTTGGAACTTTTAAATATATTCCCAGGACTTTTGACATGACCCTGGAGTAGTGTTCATTGTACAGAGGCAGGCTCTGTAACACAGGGAAAGAGGACAATGCATAGCAGCAAAAAGGTTATTCCTTACATCCAAGCATCACAGGACCCTCAGTGAAAAACAGACCATTCAAAACAGCTGGGACCAACCTGGCTGATAATGACTACAAACTCCTTTTCTTCATTATAATGTCATCTTAGTATTATTAACCCTGCAGATTGGCTCTTCCCACCATGCATCTGATACCACCATGCATCAAAAAATCCCCTATTACACTGGAGAAGAAAAGAAAGGAAACCCTATTCCATGAGTTCCCCACCTTCTCTCCCACTGTGACTCATGAATAATCTTTTCTTTCATGAAGCTTGACCACAAAACATGCTGTCCAAAAAACAAACAAAATTCATGTGGTTTGCTCTGAGAATGCCTACACTCACCTCTTGAATGTTTACCTTTTACTCTATAATAAAACTTTCTCCCAATGTCTTTCTTTTGTCTCTTCTCTGAAATTATGGTAGAGGTCTCTTAATCTCCTTCTCTGAGACCTCCCTCTTCTGATCACTGCTGATTTTGAAAGAGTCTATGAAGGAATAAATTTTCACTTTTGCATTATTCACAACCATCTACTATTTGTTTACAGAATTTTAAATGAGATTTGTTTTTAACTGAAATATCTTGTTCTATCTCTTGACATCATAAAATCAAACCATTACTACTTTTCTTCTTGATATGCTTTGTATGTTATCTACCAATATCCTTAACTTTCATTAAAATGTTATTACATGATTATTATAAATTAATCTATGGTTTGTAAAAAGTGGGAGATAATTTTGCTTTAATTTCTTGTTCATGTACCTATAGGTAGTTGACTCAAAGGCCATAATTTAAATTGAGTTCAAACACAGTATTTGCTGAAGCTGTTTAATATTTTAGAGGCTAACACAGGCAAAGAAAGACTTGCTTAAATAAACACAAGTAAAACTAATAAAAGGTGAACTGTGATTTGCACTTGACCTGCACAGGAAGTAGCATCTGTCCTTCTTAATTGTTCTCAAGAGGAGACCTTGTCCCTTGGGTTCAAGACAAGGGGATTGCAGAAAAGGATGTTTGTAATTTCCATGAGCAGCTTGACTTGTTTGACTACTCTCTCAGGGGTCACAATGCTGTCTGTTCACCCCAGTGTCTTCCTGTTCTCCATTGTGCAAAACAAAACCCAATTGAATCAATACTGATTTAACATAAACCTTAGTAGTTAGGCTTTACCAAAAGAGACTAATTTTTTTAGATTGTGATAAGAAGTACCGTGATAAATTTATTAGTGAGGTGGGGGATTTTTTTTAGTGCCATTTAATGATATCTGGATATTCAAATATACCTACTTTTAGGTAACTTGTACAGTGGGTTCAATTAGTAAGCAATGGTGACTATCATACTTCAAACTAGGATTTCCTGCAATCTATAAAGACAGTTGTAAATGTAGCTCAAATGGTAACTCATTTGTTAAACATGTGGGAAAAAAGCCTTAGTTCAATTCCCAGTACTGCAAACACAAACTATAGAGCTAGAAAGTAGCTGACAGGAATGGGGAGTCACTGCAGTAGACACAAGATATCTTTGTAGCATGATGAAAGCATTCTAAAATTAAGTTCAGGTAAAGACTGCGCAAGTAAACTTACTGAAAAACACTGCATTATGCAAAGAAAACACATAAGTTTATGGTTATCTAAATTACATTTTCATAAAGATGTTAGAAATCATGTTCATTGAGCAGTCACAAGTGCCTAGCTCCTTGCTAAATTCTATTGTGTAAGAAAGGTGTGAAATACAGGTGTAGGAAATGGGACAGGTAGTGCAGAGAGTAAGAAAGGATTGTCCAGTGTGGACCTGTACTAGCCAGGCTCCAGAGAATGGTCAGATCCTCCAAAGATAGGTCTTGATCTTATGAGAGAGGGGGAAGAAAACAGACTGAGCTGTAAGTCAGAAGGGAGGGGGAGTCATGAACTTAGCATTAGAAGATAGTATGGACACCATACTATCTGCCATGCAGATAGTATATGTTTTGTATGTTACAAAGCATATGTTACAAAGCATATGCACAAAGCATATGCTTTATATGTTATCTACCAATATCTTTAACGTTCATTGAAATGTTATTACATAATTATTATAAATTAATCTATGGTTTGTAAAAACTGGGAGATAATTTTGCTTTAGATTTAGGTTTAGATTTATTCTATTAGTATTTGGAGTTGTGATTCTATGAGCTTCTTTTGGTAAAAACAGACATTTATAATGAAATTCCCTTGTGATATATATGTATACACACACACTCACACACAAATATATATATATATGTATATACCTTAGATTTACATAAAGGTCAACTGCTTTTATAGAACAATATAGCTTTTAAAGTCCCAGTCTAAACAACCAAGCTGTTGCTTTCTCTCACAGAACAGAATAGGTTTTGAAACACTTCTACACTTCTAACTATGGCATATACACTACATAATAACAAGGATGGATCAAGGATGGACAGTACAACAGTAATTCCATAAGATTATACCATTAAGTGGGTTGGTAGTGCAGCTCAGTGGTAGAGCACTTATCTAGCATAAATGAGGCCCTGGGTTTGATCTTCAGTACCACTAAAATGAAAGAAAGTATCACCTAGATATGACAGAGCCATCTTCCTTTGTATAAATATTCTAAAATACTCTAGAAGCTCAATGGCAACAAAATTATATAACCACTCATTTCTCAGAACCTATCCTTGTCTTTATATATTGAGTGGCAACTTATCTGTGTTAAAATGCCGCGGACCGGGTTTTGTCGGGACGACGGAGGATACCTAGGGGAGGAACCTGGAATAGGATGGGGAGATGGCAAACAGACAACTCACACACATTAGGAGTGGATGCTGAGTG